CCCGCGGGCTCAGGCTACCCACTCACCTCAGCCTCCCAAGGCGTGGGATGACAGGCTGAGCCACCGAGCCCGGCCTAAAGTTGTATCTTTGAATTTGATCTTTTACCTGAACTTCACACTCTCATGTTCAATTACTTGTAGAACAGCTCCACAGGGATCTCAAACCTTTGTGTCCAAAACCACAATCTCATTTTATCCTCACACACCTGCTGTCTCCCAGTCATCCTCATCCTAGTAATGGCCCTTCTAGTTGTTTAGGCAAAAAACCCCAACAGAAACAAAAACCAAAACCAGGAATCTCCTTGTTTCCCCCTTGTTCATCACACTCCCATCCAGCTCTGTTAGCTCAGCCTTCAAAATTCATCTGAATCTGAACACTTCTCAGCAACTCTGCCACCGCCAGCCTACACCAGAACACAGTCATTGTCCAGCTCATCCTAAGATTTCATTGTTTCTACTACTACAATAAGTAGTCCAGATTACAAATGCAGACCAGCAGAGTTAGGACTCAGAAACGGTGCCTTTCAATATTCCTCCTTGATTCTTATCCAAGACAAGTCGTTCTCATCCTTCTTTTCATCACCTAGAGTTTTCCTCAAGTCCCAAGGCATTCAGTGCAATCTCTACACAACTGTGATGTGGGAACTGCAAACATGACCCCATTTCTTCACCTCTCCCTGGCTCTGTGCTCTTTGTCATGTAACTTTGCAATGCTCCCCCACTCCGTCTCGGGGCTAGGCCCTATGACTAAATTTGACCAATGGAATATCAGCAAATTATGAAGCAGAGACTTGAAAAATGCTTGGGCAAGTAAGCTTGGTCTTCCTCTCTGCTATTACCATGAGAACATCTTCAGCGGATGGAGAGTCTACTGGAGGACGGGAGAGATGTGAAGCAGAGAGCTCAGGCTGGATAAACAGCCAACCAGCAGATCCCAGACATGTGAGTGAGTCTATCCAAGATTAGCAGAGTCACCAAGTCAGCCTCACCTGAGGTACAAATAATTAAGGTGTCATGGTTGGTATGTAGTATTATGACAATAGATAACTAGGAAATTCCAAGTGTATGCCTACCACATCAACCCTTCCTCTCAGTTCTAGACTTGTATATCCAACTACCTATCAGACAACTCTATT